TTCTTTGTAAAGAAGGGTGGTGAATTGAGGCCTTGCATCGATTATAGGGGTCTCAATCGAATCACCACTAAGAATGCATACCCGATTCCCTTGATTACTGAGTTGTTCGACCGCCTTAAGGGGGCAACAGTCTTTACCAAACTTGACCTTAGGGCGGCGTACAACCTCGTACGGATCAAACAGGGGGATGAGTGGAAGACCGCGTTTAACACCAGAACCGGGCACTACGAATACCTGGTGATGCCCTTCGGGTTGTGTAACGCGCCCGCAGTTTTTTTCAGGAATTCATAAATGATGTCCTTCGTGACTTGTTGCAGCAGTGCGTGGTAGTTTACTTGGATGACATCCTGGTTTACTCTGCCTCCATGGAGTCCCATATCCAGGATGTCAAGCAGGTGCTGCAACGATTACATGAGAACGAACTTTTTTGTAAACTTGAGAAGTGCGAATTCCATCGATCCCAAGTTGCCTTTTTAGGCTACATCATTTCTGCGGAGGGATTCTCCATGGACCCTCAGAAGGTTTCGGCAGTTCTGCAGTGGCCTCGTCCCAATGGTCTTCGGCCCATTCAGCGCTTTTTGGGTTTTTTGCCAACTACTATCGGAAGTTCATCAGGAACTTCTCCACGCTGGCAAAACCTCTCTCAGACCTAACCAAGAAGGGCAGCAATCCTCACGAGTGGCCATCCAAGGCCATCGTAGCTTTTGAGGCTCTGAAATCCGCCTTCGCTTCGGCTCCGATACTGTCTCATCCCAATCCTGGATTGCCCTTCGTCCTTGAGGGTGATGCATCCGAGACAGGAGTAGGCGCTCTCCTGTCTCAACGTCGGTCGCCCGAAGGACCCCTACTTCCCTGTGGGTTCTACTCCAGGAAACTTTCCTCTGCGAGTGCAACTACCAGATTGGAGATAGGGGAGTTGTTGGCAATCATTCTGGCTCTCAAGGAATGGAGGCACCTGCTCGAGGGCTCCGCAGTTCCGGTCCTCATTCTTACCGATCATAAGAACCTGACTTATCTTTCGGAGGCCAAAAGATTGACACCCCGTCAGGCCAGATGGGCCTTGTTCTTGTCGCGGTTCAACTATGTGGTCTCCTATTTGCCTGGTTCCAAGAATGTCAGGGCTGATGCATTATCGCGGCAATACTCTGAGTTGTCCAGGGAGGACTCTGAGCCAACCTCGGTCATACCTCCGGATCATATCCTGGCTGCCATTCGTACCAGTCCGACTTCTCCCCTTGGGGAGCAGATTTTGGCGGCTCAAACTGACTCTCCTCCCGAGAGACCGGAGGGTAGATGTTTTGTACCCGAGGGGTTGCGCACCCGTCTGCTGCGTACCTACCATAACTCCAAAACTGCCGGGCATCCGGGGAGGAACCAGTTGTCTTGGGTCGTCTCTCGGTTTGTTCTGGTGGCCAACTCTCCGTGCCGACATCGCCTCTTATGTAGCGGCATGTTCGATCTGTGCCCAGAATAAATCTCCACGGCATCTTCCAATGGGTCTTCTGCAACCCATTCCCAATGGGGAGCGTCCTTGGTCACACCTGGGCATGGACTTTATTGTAGACCTCCCTGTGTCTCAGGGCCATACGGTCATCCTCATGGTCGTCGATCGTTTTTTTTCCAAAATGTGCCATTGTATTCCACTCAGGAAATTACCAACAGTGCAAGAACTGGCCACGGTCTTTTTCGCCTGCATAGGTTGCCCAAGGTGATTGTCTCAGACCGCGGGAGTCAGTTCGTGTCCAGATTCTGGCGCGCCTTCTGCTCCCAGTTTGGGCATTAGTCTCTCCTTTTCTTCAGCCTACCACCCGCAGTCCAATGGGGCTGCGGAGCGTTCCAATCAGGCCTTAGAACAATTCCTTCGGTGTTATATCTCGGACCATCAGGACGATTGGGCCGATCTCCTGCCTTGGGCAGAGTTTGCCAGGAACTCAGCGGTCAACTCCTCCTCCGGGATGTTCCCCTTCATGGCCAACTATGGGTACCAACCCGCGGTATTACCTGAGAGGTTCTCACCACAGGACATTCCGGCTGTGGAGAACCATCTTGCTGCCCTGCGTTCTTCATGGGGGCAGATCCAGAGGGCTTTGAGGGACTCGGCTCAGCGTCAGAAGTTCCAGGCTGATCGCAGATGGTTGCCCGCTCCTTCATACCAGGTCGGCGATCGGGTGTGGTTGTCTACTCGTAACCTCAATCTTCGGGTGCCCACACCCAAACTAGCTCCCCGTTTTGTCGGTCCTTTTCGCATTCTCCGCAAGGTGAATCCGGTGGCCTATGCCCTTGCCCTTCCACCAGGGATGCGGATCTCCAATATCTTTCATGTATCACTGTTGAAACCTCTGATCTGCAATCGCTTCACTACCTCTCTGCCTCGGCCCCGTCCCATTCGGGTTGACGGTCATGAGGAGTATGAGGTGAGCCGGATCCTGGACTCTTGATTGGTGCGCGGCCGATTACAGTTCCTGGTTCATTGGCGCGGTTATGGTCCCGAGGAGCGTTCCTGGGTTCCTTCCGCGGATTTCCATGCTCCTGCCCTCCTCCGCACGTTTCATACCCGCTTTCCTCAGAAACCTTTTGTTGAGCCGCGGAGGGGGAGGGGCCCTTGAGGAGGAGGTACTGTCAAGGTCCTACCTTTTCCCAGAGGTTTTGTTTACTCCATGTGCTAGCATCCATCTTGGATTTCTGCTGAGCATGATGGGAATATTTTATGCCTTCAGGTCTCTGAGGTCCATCCCCCAGAGGGGTGTGGCTGAGTACATATAAGCCTGGGATCTGCACATGCTCTTTGCACTTGTGTCTTGTGTCTTTGTCTTGCTACAGCTCTGTGTATACGCTCGTGACTCTTCTGGTATTCTGACTCGGCTTGTGCTAAGACCATTCTCTGTGTTTCCCTTTGATCTGACCTTCCGTTGCTGAACCTAGCCCGTGACCTGTGATTCTCTGTCTACTGTTCTGTACTGTTTTGTCCCGTTGTTATATTGACCCGGCTTGTCTGACTACGCTATTGTCATTCTCACCAGCTACACGCCATTGGCGGCGGCCATTACCGCAGCTGGGGTGTCTCGGGGGGCCGCGACCTGGTCCCTGGTTGCGTCAAGTCCATCCCCACCATCAGGGGCCCTGGTGAAGGGCAGCCTGGGACTTAGACTCCGCGCCCTGAGGGACTTCAGTCTGTTGGTGGTGGTTGTCGTCAGCCAGTGCGTTACCCTGCCACTAGGCCTACCTGTCTGTTCCACAGCCCTGCCCTGACACTCATACACTGCCCCTTTAAGTGAGGCCTCCTAAGCCACAAATGCAATACCGTCCTCCAGCTTACTGATGCTTCTTAAAGTGGTTGCAAAGGCTCGAGGTTTTTACCTTCATGCATTCTATGCATAAAGGTAAAAAACCTTCTGTGTGTAGCAGCCCTCTCAAATACTTATTGAGATCCATCCCGATCCAGCGATGTCCACGAGAGCCTCGGTTCTCCGAGGACTCTCACTCCTGATTGGCTGAGGCAGCAGCAGTAGCCATTGGCTCCTGCTGCTGTCAATCACAGCCAGTGAACCAAGCAGGAAAGGGAGGGGCAGAGCCAAGCCATGGCTGTGTGTGAATGGACATGCAGAGCCACAGCTTGGGTGCATGCCTGCTCGGGTGCCCCCATAGCAAGCTGCTTGCTGTGGGAGCACCTGGCAGGAAGGAGGGGCCAGAAGTGCTGGTGGGGGACCTGAGAAGTGGAAGATCCAAACTGCTCTGTGCAAAATCACTGCGCACAGCAGGTAAGTATAACATGTTTGTTATTTAAAGAAAAAAATAAGACTTTAGTATCACTTTAATCCATCTCCATCCTCCGCAATTCTTAGGTTGATGTAGGTGAAACACTCAAAATAAAGAGAGAAAAATAGTGCCCTCTGAATATAAACCACTATTTATTAAGAAAAAAACAAACGTGCACTCAATTCTTTAAGTGCACACTTCTGGTGCAAACAGTATACAGGCATATATGGATGAAACCAACCAAGAAAATGGCCAATGGTACAGGTATTTTTTGCGGTGTGATGTCACCGGCTCCCTCCACTACATTTATGCACTACTAAGTAGTGTATAAATGTAAATCTTACTGGCATTTATTGCCTCTCACAGAGATCCCAGCAAGGCTTTGATCTGCTTTTCTCTCCAGAAGGATGGAGCCATCTTTGTCTAGTCATTATCCAGTCTCAGCATCTACTACCAGTACTGAGATGCAAGCTCAGAGAAGACATGATCATGTAAATAGTGGTGCCTAAGTAGTTCTTGGCTGTGCTCACCAATGTCCAACTCTTGTAGACAGGTGATGTTTTTTTGCATTTTGATTGAAACGCACATCAAAGGTATACATGATGGTTTAGAGGCTGCTTTTGCATGCTTTCTTTAACCACTTGCCTACCGGGCACCTATACCCCCTTATTTACCAGGCCAATTTTCAGCTTTCAGCACTGTCGCACTTTGATTGACAATTGCGCGGGTCATGCAAGATTGTACCCATATGAAATTTTTATAATTTTTTTTCTCACAAATAGAGCTTCCTTTTGGTGGTATTTAATCGCTGCTGATGGGCACTTTACTTTTTGTGCTATAAGCAAAAAAATGCAAAAAATTTTGAAAAAAAAAAGTTTTTTTGTTTCTATTAGAAAATTTTTCAAACAGGTAATTTTTATCCTTTACTGATGTGCGTTGATGAGGCAGCACTGATGGGCACTGATAGGCAGCACTGAAGGGCACTGATAGGCAGCACTGATAGGCGGCACTAATGAGGTGGCACGGATAGGCGGCACTGATAGGCAGCACTAATGATGTGTCACGGGTAGGTGGCACTGATATGCGGCACTGATTGGTGGCACTGATAGGCAACACTGATAATGGGTACTGACAGACAGCACTGATAGGTGGCACTGACTGACATCACTGCTGGGCACTGACTGGCACAACCGCTGGGCACTGACTGGTGGCACTGACTGGCAGCACTGCTGGGCTGCACTGATGGGCACTGGTGGGTGGCACTGGTGGGCACAGGTGGGTGGCACTACTACTGGGCACAGGTAGGTGGCACTTCTGGGCACAGGTGGTGACACTGCTGGGTGGCACAGGTGGGCACACTGCTGGGCACAGGTGGGTGCATTGCTGGGCACAGGTGGGCACACTGCTGGGCACAGGTGGGTGCATTGCTGGGCACAGGTGGGCGGAACTTGTGTGTGGCATTGCTGGGCACCGATCATCAGGGCACTGGTGATCAGTGACCCTGATGATCGGTGCTGATCCCCGCTCTGACAACTGCTGGTTTTCGGCAGTACTTTCCTCACGATCTGACAGCGTGAGGAAAGTGCAGCTGAGAACCGGCATTTGCATTTTCCCGGTGATCAGCGTGTCATTGGACACGGCTGATCATGTGGTAAAAGGCCTTTGGCCTTTTACCACGTCACGTGATCAGCTGTGTCCGTAGGACACAGCGATCACGGAGATCGCCGGGTGCCCGCCCCGGGGGGGCGCACAGGAGAGCGCGTTCTGGGAGGACGTCATATGACATCCACCCATCCAGAACTGGCCGGCCGCAGTGCAGCCGTCATTCGGCTATCTGCAGTCGGCAATTAGTTAAAAGTTGTGAGCGCTATTAGGATGTCTTTGCATTTGCAATGGAATTTATATAGTGTTGATGATTTACATACTGCAGGTTCCTATCAGTCCCTTCCCTTAAAGTGCAGTTCCACCAAAAAGCGGAAGTTCCGCTTTAATACTCTGTCCCCCGCTCCACATTAAGGATTGGCATCTTTTGGGAGAGGGTACCCGATTTTGACAAGTACCCGCTCCCACTTCCGCTGCGATCATCTAGGCCAGTGGTGGGCAACCTTTTTTTTCAACTGAGCCAAATCTTGCCAAAACCACGATTGAAATTTATTTTGAGAGCCACATTTTTAAAACTGAAAATACATAGGATGGTACACTGTTTTTAGTTTCAATAAGTTTTTATAGTAATTCATCCCCCATATAGTAATTCATCCCCCATAGTAATTCATCCCCCATATAGTAATTCATCCCCCCTATACTAATTCATCCCCCATATTAATTCATCCCCCATATAGTAATTCATCCCCCATAGTAATTCATCCCCCCATATAGTAATTTATCCCCCATAGTAATTCATCCCCCATATAGTAATTCATCCCCCATATAGTAATTCATCCCCCATAGTAATTCCTCCCCCATATAGTAATTCATCCCCCATAGTAATTCATCCCCCATATAGTAATTCATCCCCCATAGTAATCCATCCCCCATATAGTAATTCATCCCCCATATAGTAATGTATCCCCCATAGTAATTCATCCCCCATATAGTAATTCATCCCCCATATTAATTCATCCCTCATATAGTAGTAGTAAGTAAGTAGCAAGTAGTAAGTCAAGTCCCTCCTGTGTCAATTCACTTACCTTTGTTCCGCGCGTTCCTCTCGCCGTGCTCCCCGCGCCGTTCCGGTCTTCAGGGCGGACTGTGAGAGGAGCCTAGCTCCCCTCACGTTCGTCACGCTGCCCCGCCTACACACATCCTGCAAGCCAATCACTAGCTATCAGGATGTGAGTGGCAGCGAGACTGGCCAATCATTGCTGGGCTAGCTGCAGAGTCCTCGGCCACCCGAGAGGAGGGAGGGGAGGGGAGCGGCCGCCCGAGAGGAGGGAGGGGGAGGGGAGCGAGCGCCCGGCACACAGAAGAGCCGCATTAAAATGTGTAAAGAGCCGCATGTGGCTCGCGAGCCGTGGCTTGCCGACCACTGATCTAGGCGATCGGAAGCGGAATTCCCTCACTCCCTCCCCGTAGTCTTCTGGGACACGTGACAGGTCCCAGAAGACTACGGGGCCATTTACAAAGTGCAGCGCTTCTTGAGCATGCACAGTGGGCACCTGGCTGTGAAGCCGCAAACTTTCACAGCCGGGGGCCCACACTGAAGATGCCGACGCCCAGAGAGAGAAGATAGCCGGTGAAACCAGCGGTCGGGAGGACACCCCTGGACCGAGAGACAGGTAAGTGTCTGTATTTAAAAAAGTCAGCAGCTACAGTTTTTGTAGCTGCTGACTTTTTGTTTTTTATCAGCTGGAACTCCACTTTAAGGGGCAGCTGCTTTGGGCCCTGCCTGACGCTGCTGCATTGCTGACTCAGACTCCTCCTTTTTTTTTTTTCAGCTTGAACTCTGCTTTAAGGAGCTTACAGTCTAAGGTCTGTATCTCACATGCATACACACACATACTAGGGCAAATATAAACAGGAGCCAATTAACCTACCAGCATGTCTTTGGAATGTGGGAGGAAATCGATGTACCCGGAGGAATACCATGCAAGCACAGGTTTACCAAAATGTAATATGAAGGCCTACTTAATAAATGTGCACTACACTGTTGTTGGCAAGTAAAGGAAATGTTTTAAGCAGGTTCATATACACTCACCTGCCACTTTATTAGGTACACCTGTTCAATTGCAGAGTAACAAATTGCTAATCAGCCAACCACATGGCAGAAGCTCAATGCATTTAGGCATCTAGATGTGGTGAACAGGACTTGCTGAAGTTCAAACCGAGCATTAAAATGGGGAAGAAAGGGGATTTAAGTGACTTTGAATGTGGCATGGTTGTTGGTGTCAAACAGGCTGGTCCGAGTATTTCAAAAACTGCTTATCTACACACAACCATCTCTAGGGTTTACAGAGAATGGTCCGAAAAAGAGAATATCCAGTGAGTGGCATTTGTTTGGACAAAAATGCCTTGTTGATGTCAGAGGTCAGGAAAATGGGTAGACTGGTTGCTGCGATATTCAGATGGTAGGGTCAGAATTTGGTGTAAACAGCATGAAAAAAATGGATCCATCCTGCTTTGTATCAACGGTTCAGGCTGGTGGTGGTGATGTAATGGTCTGGGGGATATTTTCTTGGAACATGCAAGGTGTACCTAATAAAGTGGCCAGTGAGTGTAATTCCTGGCTATTTTTCTCTATTTCAGTTTTAATATAAAATCCTGCTTCTACCTCGGTCCAGCAATACTTATTTAAAATCTAGGGATGTGGACAGAGTAAGAAACACTTCTAGTAAGCAGTTTGAATACCTACTACTCCACTAACTGATGTGACGAACTGGTAATCAGCTTGCAAATACATGAAAATAATCATCAGGACGCTAACATCGGGGTGTTGCAATCAAAGTTGAAAACTTTCAAGGCAGAGACATCTGCTGGTGGATGTGAGAAATTGTACAGTTCCACAAGAGACATAAAAAGAAACACATTCATTGTTCCAAAAGGTGCCAAGCAATCACACATGTGCATGGCAGATGAAAGGACGGAGCTTACTCTAAAACTGGTAACTCTAAAAAGCATATTGGGCAGGCTGATGCTACAGAATCTATAGAAACTACAAAGCACTTGGGGGGTAATTTATAAAAACTAGAAGAAAGGAGAACAGTGGTGTTGCCTGTAGCAAGCAGTCTGATTGCAGTAAAATTGTGGAAGGAAATGGTTTTTCCGGCACCTGTCATATACCAAAAATCTCTAATAAAGTATATATTAAAATGAACCATAAATGATACCATGTGCATTTTTATTACCTAATGCAAACCATACTTGAATTTCAGGCCAATCCATGCTAACTCAACCAAAATTAGAGCAGTGCATGGCCTTGCCGGCATCACCCCATCTGACAAACCTCAACTATTCAAATGCCTTTTAACGAAGGAGCCTTTAGGAAAATTTTCATCAAAACTGTGCCTATATGCAGGTGCAGACACTCTTAGAGTTTTCTGACAATAGCACGATAGGGGAAATTTGGCCATCTGTGCTGTTAGTGTGGATGGAAAAATCTACCAGATTTCTTTCATTCAGTCTGCAGGATGAATGAAAGAAATCTATAAGTGTATGGCCAGTTAAACAAAATATGCCAACACAACTAAAACTGACAGCATTATTTTTCAGGAGCTGTACCTAATCCTCATGATGGCGTAATGCCTGAACTCAGGGCGAAAAGTAAATAAAGACTATTGCAATTATATACAGTATCTCACAGAAGTGAGTATACCCCTCACATTTTTGTAAATATTTTATTATATCTTTTCATGTGACAACACAAGTGTGTCTTGCCTACAGTCAAGCATGGTGGTGGGAGTGTCATGGTCTGGGGCTGCATGAGTGCTGCCGACACTGCGGTGCTACAGTTCACTGAGGGAACCATGAATGCCAACATGTACTGTGATATACTGAAGCATAGCATGATCCCCTCTCTTCGGAGACTGGGCCACAGGGCAGTATTCCAACATGATAACGACCCCAAACACACCTCCAAGACGACCACTGCCTTGCTAAAGAAGCTGAGGGTAAAGGTGATGGACTGGCCAAGCATGTCTCCAGACCTAAACCCTATTAAGCATCTGTGGGGCATCCTCAAACGGAAGGTGGAGGAGAGCAAGGTCTCTAACATCCACCAGGTCCATGATTACGTCATGGAGGAGTGGAAGAGGACTATAGTGGCAACCTGTAAAGCTCTGGTGAACTCCATGCCCAAGAGGGTTAAGGCAGTGCTGGAAAATAATGGTGGCCACACAAAATATTGATACTTTGGGCCCAATTTGGACATGTTCACTTAGGGGTGTACTGACTTTTGTTGCCAGCGGTTTAGACATTAATGGCTGTGTGTTGAGTTATTTTGATGGGACAGCAAATTTACACTGTTGTACAAGCTGTACACTCACTACTTTACATTGTAGCAAAGTGTCATTTCTTCAGTGTTGTCACATGAAAAGATAGAATAAAATATTTACAAAAATGTGAGGGGTATTCTCACTTCTGGGAGATACTGTATTGATTTATAAATCAATAAAATGTTTTTGAGATGCAATTGGTATATGTGAATTTCAGTTGGTGTCAGCCTCTTGTGATTATCTGTAAGACCTCATCTGCACAACATCAAGCATTGTGCATATGCGTCTTTTTTGCGCATTGTCACACTACACACATAGGGCAGCCTATTAATTTCAAAGGCATGACCTACACACAACAAATGTGGCCAAGTAGAACATGCACCTTTTTGAGTGTTGAGCTTTGCACATTTTTGACCTTGTGTTTTGGCACATTTATCGCATATTTTTTGCTTGAAAAATACACATTTGCTTGCCATGTTTGCGCACATTTACACTCTGTTATAGTGTGTATGCAGCCTAAATCCTAGTACACATGATGAGAAAAGTGGACAAAAAAAAAACATTTTCAAAGCGATCATCTGATAATCTGATCGTTAGTACACAGCTTTCGAGAGCAGATCACTACAGTTCATGAAAAATTAACTGAAGGGACAAGGACAACATTTTTTCTCCTAAGATAAC